ATGAATCAAGATGCTATGACCGAAAACATTTGATTGACAGATGACCGTTGATATATGATTGGCCGAATTTAGGTGTTCAGACTGACGTAGAACTAACTGGCCTGCAGAAGATAATGGAAAAAAAACAGATTTTAAGACAGGATTTTTTTTAAAGAGAAACTTTCTACATTTTTGAACAATATTGTCTGATAAATTAAAGAGTACATTTATATAAATATTTAAGCCAGAATGATTCAACATTTAAATATGATTTGTTAAGACTTTAAGATGGAAGATTTGTGTTTTTTTTTTAAAGCTATCGCTATATGCTAAAGGTTCACTCCGTCAGGTTTGGGAGATTTTTAAAACGTCAGAGACTCAAAATGGTTCCACTGCGGGCCGCATGTTTCCGTTAGCGTCAGACGTTTAGATGTTCTGTTCATCCCTGTCCTCCGTGTTCTCCTCAGAGATCCCTGGTGCCACAGTCAGCCTCGTTAACATGTTTCCTTATCCAATTAGTTCATAAGCAGAGTCAAAAATTTGGAGCGTGTTTGTTTGAAGAACAGAATCTTAGCAATGTAAATTTGAGCTTTTAGTATCTAGCATTCAATGTTTATCATTTAGCATTTAGCTTTTAACATTTAGAATTTAGCATTTAGCTTTTAACATTTAGCAAATGTGCCAAATGCTTTTACTATTTGACCCATAGAATAACAGTGAAGCATTTTGATGGTCACGAACATTTATAAAGCAAGTATTTCCCCTTTTTTCAGTATATAACAAAATGTAACATTTTTACACATAACATAAAAATCCTTAAAAAAAAAAAGGGAAACTGCTGCTTTTCAAGCTAAAATAAGCCCAAGTGCCTTTTCTGAGCTGTATTTTGTTTTGTTTTGTTCAGCTTTAGGCTTTGTAGTAAAAAAAAATAAAAATCAGCGTCCAAGCTTAAAAAAATAGCACGGTTATTATTATTTAGCCTGGAGCTGCGCTCATTGATCCAGCCTCAGCCGTGTGTTTCACTCTTACGCAGGCCGGTAACACGGCTCTGCTTTATATAATCCAGCCATGTGATGAAACCTTATTTCATTGGCTACAAAGCCCATCAGCCCATTTAGTCTCAACCAATAACAGCAGGACTCTAGGAGGCGTAATATCGCTCTACTCGTTGCCTCATTGGCTGACAGGAAAGGAGCGCTTGAGAGACTTCAGCGGCTGTCCCTGACTGAAACAGTCAGACAAAGATCCGACACTTCTGTCTTGTAGGTAAGAAGATGTAAAGAACCACACCAAACATTGCAGGCTAACAACTGAGGTAAGTAAGAGGAAGTAAATATTAGCAAGATGCTAAGCATTAGCTATGACTAGCTAACTTTTCTGATGTCCAACAACCGGATGTTATGGGCGATTTTCTCATCATGGAATATTTTTATTTCGAATATGCTGGATTACTTTTAACCTTTGGACCCTTATGGACAAATGGAGTATAAACATTTGAAGATTGGATTTATAAAACAGCTTCTGGCCTTCAAAGGGACGTAGCTGTGGCTGCTTTGTTTGTTTACATGTTGACACGCTGCTATATCTGTGTTAATTGTGCTTTGGTGCTCGCTGTGTCCATAAAATTAACTTGGTGGTTAAATTGTGGAGAATCTGAGCTTTCCAGCGATGTCTGACATGTTTATATTGGTAAACATTTTACTGGTGGAATTTTCATGCATTCTGAGTTATTAGTTTTAAACACTTTAAAACGGTTTGCCGGCGACCCGGTGGATTTAAAGAGGTTAATATGTAGCAGTTAGAATTTAATATGTAGCATTTAGCATTTAATATGTAGCATTTAGCATTTAATATGTAGCATTTGGCATTTAATATGTAGCATTTGGCATTTAATATGTAGCATTTAGCATGTGGGTCCCCTTGCTAAGAAGGCTGGATCCAGACGGCGGCTACATGCTAACATGTTTTCTCTTATTGCTGTTCCTGAAGTGAACTCTGAGGAGTCAGGTTCTCACCAGGAGCTGGAAGAACCTCCATCTGTTCAGCTTTCTGCTCCTCTGGCTGAGGCTCCAGGGCTGCAGAGACATGAACCATAGAAAGATTTAACATTCGCTGCACTTGAACTGGATTCTGTGTCACAAACTGGGTTTAGAAATATAGCTGCTCTGGTCACATGGTTGGGATCATCTTCACAGACCTGCTGCTCCTGAACTTTCTGTCCAGGAAACATGATTGTTTAAACTGTGAAGGCGTCAGGTTCTTAAACATGCTAACAGCGCTGTGTTAGCATGTTAGCTGACAGCAGCTAACAGACGGATAAAAACCTTTTAGTCTGATTTCTGGTCCTTTATTTATTTTTTTTTCTTTTGGTAAATGGCCTGTACTTATACAGCACTTTTTGAAGTCAGGAGACTCGACCAAAACACTTTACGCTACATTCAGTCAGTCGCACACTGATGGTGGCAAGCTACTTTTAAGACAGTCTTCAAATAGGTGAAAGAATTTAGAGATTCATGCTAATAAGGTTGGACCTAATTAACAACGGTTGGGTGGCGTTAGCAAGTTTAGCTTAGCTTGATGAAAAAGGAATAGTTTCACAAACATTAATACTGTGGAGAATTAAGTCCTAACATGGGAGGCTGACATTTTAAAAATACATTTTGATTTTCATCTTCTGATATTTGACCAGTTATTTATATTCAACATAGGTTCAATTAAACCATAATAGATCTTTAATTTAAAAGTTAAAATCAATCCGCTGGACTTTGTTTCCAGTCTGAAGACGTGTCTCTTCCATCCAGGAAGATTTTTCAATCCAAAATGTCAGAAATAGCGTTTAGTTCCAGGTTTTATCCAGCAGCCCAACAAAGCCTGGTTTTAGTTTAGAAAACATGCAAATAGAAACGGATGAACGGGTCCCCCCCTTTGGAATGGGGGCCGTTTGGCTTCTTTGTTAGCCTGCAATGCCCCATACCTGTCTATGTCTCTGAAAGGGGGGTCGTTAGAGGGAATAGTTGGCCTGGATGAACAGGGGGGGTCTTCTGTTCTCCTGTAAAGGGGTATTTACAGCCAGTATAAAACCTGGAACTCAACGCTGTTTCTGACACTTTGAATTAAAAATTTCCTGGATGGGAAGAGAAACGTCTTCAAACTGGAAAAAAAGTCAAGTGGGATAATTTTTAACTTTTATGGAATGACTCTGACCTGGATGACTGAGAATCTTCACCAGCAAACTGATCAGAAATAGTTTTCTGCTGGAATGAACTTACCTGACTTCATGCAGTTTTCTAAGCAAAGGGCTTCTGTGTCGAACCTATTCTCATTGCCTCCACACCCTCCATACCAGAACTCTGCACAGAACCCGTTCTTTCTGTCAAAGAACCACTTAGCCTGATAGTCTTTGCACGGCTGCCCGGGGTCAAAGTCAAGTGAGCACGGCTCTGCCAGGTCATTGACTACAACATGCAAAATAAAAAGAAAAAGCAGTTGAAACAGAAAGAAGCAGACATGAGCAGGACAGACAGGCAGAGATGGAGATTCTGTTAGGATTAAATCTAAAACATCACATTGTTAAAAACCAGCAGGTTAAATTATCACAAGAGCAGCTTTTTGGTTTTTCTACAAAAACAAGATGTCGATGTCTAACGAGTCAGACGTGTTCGTCACTGAGAATAAAGCCAGCAGACAGTAGGTAAGTTTTTACCAGTGAACTGAAAAGTTAGTAATAATTACGTTTGCTTTAAATATTAGTTTATTTTAGTGACAGATTTTTGGAGGTTCAGGTTAAATAAGAACCTCAGCAGCTACGGTTGATCTCCTGCTGTTGTGTTTGGGGTTTGTTTGTTTATATGGTTTCAGAGTAACGTACCCGGTTCTGGTTCTGGTTCTGGTTGTGGTTCTGGTTCTCGTTCAGGTTCCGGTTCTGGTTTAGCTTCTGGTTCAGGTTCTGGTTCAGGTTTTTCCAGTGGTCTGCTGGTTACAGGTGCGCTGCCTGGGCTGGCTGCTTCTGTTAGGAAAATATCGTTTAGTCTCACCTGATAAAACTGTAGCTGTTTTACTAATTAATGTTCAGGCAGATGCTGCAGGAAAAGGTTTAGAATAACGTGTTGTTCATTAAAAGTAGTCAAATAAAAAGTTTTATTTCAGTTGGATTATTTAAAAATCAGTCAGAAGTAAAGACAAGTGAGATTGTTTTCCATATTGTGACATTTACAGCTAGAAGATCCCAAATCTTTGAAAAAAATACCATCTGACCTAATCACTGGTCTTCCAAAGCAGCTTTTAAATCACGGCCACTAAAACAGGAAGGATTGGCGCAAAGCTCCGCCCACAAACAGTGACAGAGGAGGAACTTACTGGTTTCAACGATGCCCTTGCGGGTGGAAACAATGAGACCCTCAGCTGTGTATGCCGTGACCACAGCGTGATACGTCTGAGAACTTTCCAGGTTGTCCAGAGCTATCTCCGTGCCGGAGACGTTGGTCTTCACAACCAAGGCGTGGTCGGTCAGTCGAGTCACCACCACTTCAAAGTAGACGAAGAGTTTGGGATCCAAGATGCTCCACTGTAACCTGAAGCTGCTGGACGTGACGTTGGCGACGTGCAGCTCGTCTGCAGCTGAAGGGTGGAAACAGAAAGGCTTTAAACTCTCATCCATTCAGCACACTAATCCTAAACAGGACCTTCTGGTCACATCCAAACAACCAGATGGTCAGTTCAGACGGCTGTTCCAAGGTAGACTTCAAAGAATAATCACTTTAAACCGCCTCAAACCCAGGAACCATCCAGGTTCAAACCCATCACAGCCTGAAGGATGTTTACCAGGGAGACGCCGCTCTGACTGTCCGCGGTGATGTCAGTTTGATCGCACCAGAGGAAAAAACTAAAGTTCTTCTGGATCAACTATTTACCTTCAGTTGAGACTGAAAGACAGACGCAGGATCTCTGCAGTTGAACGTCTGACGGAAGGTTCGTATCTTAGCCTCAAACCAACAGCTAGATGCTGGAAACCTGCTTCCAGGCGTGAGCTGCAGCAGGACAGTTCTTCCAAACCCAGACTGGAAACGTTAAGATTCCAGAGAAGCTGAGAATGCGTTCTAACCTAACGCGATTCAGGAATCAGTAGCAGCCGGTTTGCATGCAAAGTCTATGGTTGAT